TGACGTCCTCAACAACCAGGCACAAACGTTACTGGAAACTTGTGCTGATTCGAGAATCTCGAATGCCGTTACTCAGCTAACCACAAAATACAACACGCTTCTTTCTATGGCTAAAGAAGTCATGCGAAGGTTGGAAATGCATTATCAGGTTCGTCAACTCAGCCGCATATGATCACTGTGATTTAAAAAAAAAAATGCCGAAATATTTTTTCTGAATTTTCAAATTTCCTGTTATTCTGACGAAAGTTTCAAACTTCGTGAAGTGGGATGTTTGTGAGGGGATGCGTTTTTTAAACGATTTTTCCTTGATTTTTGTAGGAGCACCAGCAACACCAAGCAATGTTTTCGGAGTGCGAAGAATGGCTGGAAGCTGCCCAGGATAAGCTAAAATCTGCTCAAACACCTCCTGCTTCTGAAACTGACGTCTTGATAAGTGATTCTGAACTCCAGGATCGTTTGGGAATTCTGCAGGAGCTCAAAGATTCCATGGAACAAGGCCAGCACAAACTCCGGTAAAATTAAAAAATATCGGGGTTATCGTGAGGAGTTCAACGCAATTTTATAACTTCCCTAGGTATGTTTTGGAGCTTAAAGAACGAGTGATCATCAACACCAAAGAAAAAGGGGCGAACAAAATCATAGAAGGGACTGAGGGCCTCAAAACCGAGTTCGATAAGCTTTTCATGGACATGCAAGAAGCTCGACAAAACATCAATTCAAGACTTGGTCAACTGCAAGAAAAAGCCAAGGTATTTCATTTTTTCGATTGAAGGATGATTCATTCTCCATGCATTTTTCTTTGAGTTTTTGTATACGTGGCACCTGAACAAAAAAAGCAGAGAAAACCAGGAAGAGAAAACGTCCCAAGACATTTATCATGTTCAGAAAATCAATATGTACTGTACATACGTCATTGCTGTTTTCCATAACTTGAAAGAAAATCAAGAAGGTGTATGTTCACAGACTTCGAAAGCAATTGCCGTTACCGGAAAAGCAAAAACGAGCAATCAGGCTTCACCAGTTACCATTTTTTTTCTGTGTGAAACATCGTTTGAAATTATTGAATATGTGTGTTAGGTGTTCGAGTCTTCTTTTCTATGCTTACCTAATGTGATCCGAAATGGGAAATTTTTGAAAGTTTCGTGTCATCCAAAAAATCTCAATTTGCATTGATTAGGATGCTGAATAATGAATGCGAAAGCCTTTTTACTAAAAAAATAAATTGTGAAATAACTCTCCCTGGATTTTTTGAGAACTTTCTCATTGATACGTAGAAGGTAACCGAAAAAAATGCTCTACATATCCACATAAATTTTATCGTAGAGGAGCTATTGATTTGAGTTTATTTAATTTTTCTTGGCGATGCAAAAAAATTTGAAAGCAGAATTTCATCGTTGATAACATTTTTGTTGACTGTCAGTTTTTGGACGTATTTTCGAAAAATTCCCCTGAGAATTTGGTGGCAAAGGGTATCGTCAAATTAGCCATGGGCTGTGTTGATGGAAGTATTAGTTCCATCTCCGAGAAAATCATGATATCCTTTTTCAATCATTGCGATGCGAAGTGATGATGGCAAAGATTCGGCTGACGAAGAGCTAAAGGCCTGCGTGCAAAAGCACGATGACATCAAGAGTGTCATAAACAGCCAGATTGAGGTGAGTTCATCACAATCAGACGATAAGGCTCGGTGCTTCATATTTATTATTATTATTATTTTAAATGAAACCATATTAGGTGCTCGAAGGGGAAGTGAAAAATCATGAAGCGTATTGGGCAGCGTGCTCAGAAGCTTGTGATTGGTTGCGGAAAGCTCGAGTTGACATTCAACAAGCTGGCGATTGCCATGGGCCTAAAGCCTCTGCCGAAGAACGCAAGGAAAAAGTCAACGAGATTTCAGTTTCTCTCCCTGAAGGTACTAATAAATCTTGGAGGAGGAGTCAAAGTTATTTTCAATAATTGTTTGCAGAATTAGTTCCTATACTGTATTCATGTATTCAACATGTACATTGATGTATTTTTTCAAGGTGAGAAACTGGTAAAAGCTGCTGCAGAACGCAGTGCCCCGGTCATGATGTCCAGCAATGACGAAGGGGTCGAAAGTATCAAAAGTGAAGTTGAGCACTTGAAGCATGAATGGGACTCTATCTACAATATGGTGGACGATGCCAAACGAAATCTCAGCAAGTGCTTGCAAGCCTGGAGTGACTTTGACAAGTCCTACTCGGCTTGCGAAGGCTGGTTGAAGACTCTTAGGTCCGACCTCGAAAAAGCTGGACTGGGTTTCGTCACCTTGGATGAGCCTTTACCTCGTCCTGCGCATCATGATATTGTTTGTAAAGCGAAGGTATGTTCTATAAAACTTCATGTACCGTCAACCCATCAGCTTCAAATGCATATTTTAAATTACAGTACTGTACTACGTTTTTCTGACAGTTTCATTGGTAACAATAACGAAAATAAAAAAGCTAGATTATCCGTAGAGGACACTGTTTTCTTGTAGCCATTTTATTTGACAATTCTGTGAACTGTGACGATGCGAAATCTTGATTACTTGTGATGACTGACGATTCAGATTCTTTACAAAATGCCGATCAGAGGAGCCAAGAAATAGCTGTTGAATCTGTGAAAATCCATTTGATTATGTGAATTGTACGATTGAATGTTTTAAAGAGGATCAGACCATAGCATACATGGAACAACTCAGAATCCTTGGTTGAAATATTCACCATCATTCAATTTTCCGTCAATTTCCTCCGTAAATAATAGTTTTTGAGACGCACATTTGTGGACTTGTTTCAGTTTAATCTCTATACACGCTTTTACAGTATGCCTCTTTCTGGTTTAAAAATATGCTTTTTCTCCGCAGGAATTCTTGGAAGAAATTCAGTTGAAGAAAGGGACCGTGGAAGAGCTGAGTGACAAGTGTGAGATTCTCATGGAATATTCAGCACAAAATTACGTCAGGGACCAAACTGTGCAACTCCAAGGACAGTTCACCCAATTGCTATCAAAACTTCAGGTAACTTTCATCGAACATTTTTTCGTGAAATTTTTCAGAAGTGGTTCAGAGGATAAATTCATAATGCGAAATTAAATACCTTTTTATTACAGAGTCAAGTTAGCAAAGCTGAGAAGCAATTGAGCGACGTTAATGAGTACAATCGGTCTAAACAAGATATGGAAAAGTGGTTGGATCGAGCGAAAGGAACCGTTGATGATTGCTCGTCGTGTGTTGGATCTGAAGCTGATGTCCAAGACCGACTCGAAACTTTGAGGGTGGGTGAAAAAATATAGAATTTTCTGGCGTTTTTTACAGCTTGCAATGTGCAATCTTTTCCAGATTTTATCAACTAAGTTGACCGAAGGACAGTATCTCCTGAATAACGTTTTGGAGACTCTGAACAGAGCGTCAATGGCGGCAAGTCCGCAGTCGGAAGCCTTAATGAAGCAAGAAGTTGAAGAGCTGCGAAGTTCACTGGATCATGTCAAGAAATCAGTTCCGGATGCAATTGCCTCCCTAAAGGTTAATTTTGTCTTACATTCTCCAAAGAAAAGAGAACAGTCTCGAAAACAGTTGAATATTATTTATTAATCGATTTATTTATTATTCCCCTTAGGCTTGTGTTTCAAAATGGGAAGATTTCAAAGAAACCTGTGCTCAATTAGAGGATTGGCTTGATACAGTGAGAGCGCGTGCCGAAGAAAACCCGGATTCCGAGGGCGAAATTTCCATGATCAGAACCCTATCAGACAGATTCAAGGTAATCGCGTAAAATTTCAGGCGTCCGAATACCGCGGAACTTACGGAAATGCATTGATCAACAGGCTGTTCAGTTGGAAATGAAAGAAAAAGAAAGCGAGATGAAGGCCACAGAAACTTTGGGCGAAGAATTGAGCCTTCAAAGCCACAACAACTCGTTGCTCTTGAGAATCAGGCACATTCAGGAAGAAGCACACTGCTTGTCTGACCTCTGTGACAAGAAAATATTGAAGTTGGAACAAGAGATGGCCGTTAGTATTGTGAATTTTAGTTCCCTTCGCTCTCTAGCAGATTTTCGATTTCTTTAATATTGGGCAGATGTCGCCTGAATAGCTGACCTAACTTGTATGTTACATCCAACGAAATAAAAAACGGACTATACACGTACATGTAACAGCGATGAAACGTGTAGAATCATGGACGTAGGGTCAGGCGATCAGTTTCGCAAAACTTTGAAGCATAACATCATGTTTTTCTCAAATAGGATTATTCCGAGTATCATCAAGCTTTGCAAGACACGGAAAAATGGCTATTGCAAACGTCCTTCCAACTTATGGCTCATAATTCGTTGTACGTGTCGTCGAAAGATCAAGTTGAGGAGCTGCTGGATCAGCACAAGGTAATATCAAACCTTCGTTTTTTTGTTTAGTGTCGAATCTAATTTGGATGGGGAATGCAATGTTGTGATATTTTGTAGATCCTCGTGAAAGATATGGAAATGTACGAAGCAACATTAGACGAGGTAGCTGAGAAAGGGAAGAAACCGATTGCGCGATATTCCTCGAAAGTTTTCGGTTTGGAAAGCTCTTTCAACGCACAAATGAGCAACCTTCGCGAAAGCTACGCGAGTTTGCTTGAAACTGCTCACCAAATCAAGGTGAGTTAGAAATGAAATTTCTCGAATTTCAGTGCAACTCATCTTAAAACCCTGATTTATAGAATCGATTGGAAGACTCGATGCAGAAGTATGAAGAATACGATATGGTGGTGGAGTCCATTGCTAAGAATTTGAACTCATGGGAGCCGGATATTCGTCAGGCATCCTGTTATTCTGCCGAGTCGCTGCTGGAGGCCCAGACTCATTTGGAAACCCTGAGGGTAAAAACTCTTGCCTTTTCGAACATTTGCTGCTCACTTTTATGTGCATTTGATCTCCAAGATTTTGTAATTCCTGGAAAATGAGGCCAACGTCTATCGCTGATGTCTTGCTTGCAGGCCTAAAAGGTAAAATTATAGAGGTGAATGAATGCCGGAATTTTTAAGGTTCCAATTAGGACTTATAGGTAAAACTCTCGCAGAAGTTGGCGGTGAATATGGCAGTAAGATTGAAAAAGAAATGCCTCAAGCAAAACATAAGCGAAGATATATTGAATATACTGTATATCTTCCTATATATTTCATCACAGAGCAGCCAATTTGTTATTGAAGTTAATGTTGCAGCAGTAATGCTTATGCGCTCAGAGGAGGAATTAAAAAGTGTATCTGTCTGCACAAAGAGCTCAGCAGCGGGTGAAACACTATAAATGACTCATTGTAGAATCAAAATGAAAGGGGTGTAGTGTCATCAGTGATATCAATTTTAGCCGAAGCAACGCATGGGTGTGATCGCCTCTGGATGACAATTTTTTTGCCTGGATTGTCTTTATGCCTTAGTTGAGACTTTCGAGAGTGACTGTGTATTCGGACACAGTTCAGCGCTCCTAAATTTATTGATCTTTGTTTCAACGGATTTTTTTGGAAGTGTATTTTCAGAACTTGAAAATTCTTTCATTTTTCTAGAATTGCCACAACAAATTACAGGCCGAAAAATGGCGATTGGAAGCCGCGGTTCAAGCGTGTGAAGCAGCTACTGCATCTGTGAGTCGACCAGCGAGTCCTAGGGATGCCATGCCAATGCCGATTCCTGAGCAAGAACTTCTAGTTCGAGCTACACTCGAAGAGTTCATCGATTCGGTAATTTTAACTTGATGAAAATTGCACGAAAATGTTTTTCATTGACGTCAATTTTTCGTTTTATTTAGATCCAGACGAGTATTACGCAACTGCATGGTACATTGAACGAATTGGAAGGTTTTCTGCAAATGAAGGAAGACTTGAGAAATTGGATCAGCAATGCTGAGGCGAGTGTTCTGGAGTGGAAGTCCAAGCCAGCGCGGCTTCGTTCTGAAATCGCTCAAGCTGAGATTACGAAAATCACGGATTTAAAGGTGAGGCGATGACAAGCCGTTGAGAAGGTCTCCAGGGGTATTTTTCCTATGACTGAAAGATATGTTAATTTTTTTTCAACGGAAACATCAAATTTCTCCAGAAGCTCCTTTTGTTTTTCAAGCAATCATTTTTCGGAGTTTATCCCCCTTTAATCTTGAAACGCCAAAGTTGGAAGCATAGTGGCTTATGCGTTCAAAATTCTAGGAATAAAGATAAAATTTAAAATGTTGCCTCAGATAGCTGCTGTTGAATTTATTGCAGCACCCTCCTAACTTCTTGAAAATACCCCCGTGTTCTCTTCTACAATTTTAAAAATCATTGATTTTCTATTCGATGGGACCTGCTGGGATTTTTTAAATGCATACGTCATTTACATTATTGTGATCATATTTGCAGGATGTTTTGCTTGAAAAGCAAGGTCAGTTGGATGACCTGGAAATCAAACTATCCATGAGCGCCCCGAATGAGGCTGACACCGGGCTTCGACCGTATTTAGACAAGTTGAATTATGACGTAAGACGTTATTACTTCATTCAATATCTCTTTTCATATGCACCTTGTCCCGTTCATAATTTATCTTTTAGATTTCCGTTTTATTGGATGCTCGAATGAGGATCCAGGGCATCGCGGACATGTACCGACAGGCCTTGAAACAAGCTCAAATCGATGCTGAGAAACTCATGAGTGCCATTGACGCGTCTGACAATCAAAAGGATTCCGCCGAAAAAGTGAAGCAAATCAAGGTAATCAGTCGTTCACGGGTTTTTATTATTCATCCATTTTCTTGTCATATCTTTCAAGTTATCTTATTCTGCCCTTCTTTACGTTCAGGAAGTTTCAAAATTATTGGAAGAGCAAAACGGTCGCGTGGAGCAGCTCAAAGCGCAGGCTACTTTGCTTATGCAAGAAGTTTGTAACACAGATCACGAAATTATCGAAGACCATCTCAAACTTTTGGACCGAAAACTCGGAGATTTGTCAAAGAAGATCAGCAGGCGTGTGCAAGTTGCGGAAATGGCGCGAAAAAGCTACTCAGATACCGCCAAAGAAGCAGAGTCTCTCAAGAAATGGCTCGATGGCGCCAAACATGCGATAGATGAGGACAATTTCGTTAGCTGGAAGTCAGGACCGACTCAGTCTAAAGTTACTGAACGGGAGGTGAGGCATTATCTTGTTCATGTCCCAATTAAATGTTTCTTTCGTGATTTCTGAACTTATGAAGGCTGACGCAAGAAAAATAAATAAATGCACAGTATAAGGAAACGGCATTACCGGTATTTGCAGGTTCTACAAAGGTCCCTGTTCAAGATTGTCTTTTCGATCGTTATTTTTTAATAATTCTTGGCTTTTGAGCATGCAGGAACTAAACTTTTACAAAATCGGGTGCCTCTAAAACACGGTTTTCATTTACAAATCTTACCGATTTTCGCCCATCTTGTGGAGAACTTTCGTGCCCATCAATATTTTTTTCCCTTATTTTGTTGCATGGCAAAAAAAATAAAAAATTGCAGAGGTTGCTGAAGGAATGTGAGTCGAAATCGTCAGCCATTGCCTCCATCGAAAAACAAATGAGCTCGATGGGTTCCGAATGGCAACAGCATGAAAAAGACGCATTATCCACTTCTCTCGGGGATATTCGAGCAGCCAGAGCAGAATTCCTGGACATATTGAAGAATTCCGTGATGTCACTGAACGCTGGTGTCCAGGAAAGATTGAGGTATGAATAACTCCACAGAAACCCGTGAACAGAGTTTGAAAAACGAGAACGATTTGTTTTCAGCTTCGAAAGAAAATTGGAAGATGCTGAAGTTTGGATCAAGAGTCACGCCCAAAGCTCTCTTGATGAAGGTCCTCCATATCCCCTTGCTTCCATCGACCTTGAAGCTAAAATCATACACCTTCAAGTGAGATTCGTCTTTTGTAGCATTTGTTCATCGTTTAAAAAAAAAAAATTCCTTTTTCAAGGAATTTCACTCGAGTTACAAAGCGTTTTGCGACACTAGAATCGCCGAGATCAAGAAAGAAGGGGAAAACTTGGCCAAGATGAGTGATCCTGCTGATAATGTTGAACTCGATTCCATTCTGAAAAGTGAGTCACTTCCGTTTTATAAATTCAAAATGTTCGAGAAAAATGCCAAAAAAAAAACTTTTATTCAAAGTTTGAGGTATGTGGGTGCCTCAAGAATGTTTCTGCATTTTGGACGCCCGATCATTCTCCTTTTTGTTTTGAAATTAGAAAAAATTCAAATTCAATTACTGTGACGATGCAACGAGCTGACTAAACACTTATTTTCGACGAGAAAAAAAAAGTTTCAAGCGATTTTTGCAGACCTTAAGCTATTTACGTAATTCCGAATTCGCAGGATCAGCCATACATCATCGCTCGACTTCTGAAATTGTTGCAAAGAATACTGTACTTCACAGTACTGTACATTATATGTAAAATGCATTGTTTCGAAATTGTTGTGACAGAACTGGAGAAGGAAGGAAAAACCCTGGAAAAGAACGTGAAGCAAAGTCTGGAAACACTCCAGCAAGTCTTGTTGCAGCGGAAAGAATTTGAACACAACGTTCAGCTCTGCCAAACTTGGTTGGATCAAGCTGGGGTTTCTTTGTCTGCTGAAATTCGTCGACCGAATGTTGAGATCCTGGATGACCAGCACCATCAAGTAATTTATAAAATTAAGGCAGCTCCTTGGCCCGGGAAATTTCTGATCCTAAAATGCGAAACTTTTTCTACAGTACCAAAAGCTGCTGGCGGAGTGTGCTTCATTTGGCAACCGCTTGGTGAATTTGAAATCTGCAGAGGACGAAATGTGTTCCGGCAATCAACTCTCGAAAGGGGAAGAAGCTTTGCTGAAGCAAAACATCAGCAGTTTGTGCCAAAAGCACCAGAGGATCGCTGTGCAAGTCAAAGACAGAATAAACGCCGTGGAGAGTGCCATTGAGCAGCAGCGTAGGGTAAAAGACCGCGTTCAAGCGAGTTTGGAACACTTGGAGCAGATTTACCAGCAAGTTCATGCATTGAATAAACCTATTGGATGGACTCCTGATGATGCTCAGGAGTTGTTGAAGGCGTATCAGGTAAGCTGTTGAATTTTCACTTGAGCAAAAAAGACTACTTTTTTGTTTCGTGAGATGGCTTTTAGTTTCTTTTCTATTCCGTTGCATGAGAATTCAAACGTGAAATTCGCCAACTTTTTCAGGACGCTTTGGGAAAGATCCATAATTTTAGAACAGAAGTGGAAAATATTCAGACGGAGACGACATCTAGCGGCGGGGCCTCTGCGCTGAGTGCTCTGCAAGAACTGCTGAAACGGCAGGATGATCTCATTCAGCTCGTAGAGCAGCAGATGGCCCGAATTCGCCAGCTCGTGATTGTTCGCCAGCAGTTCATGGCCCTGATTGCTGACATCGCAGCCTTCATCACCAAGCATTCCGACGTTGTGCGAGATATTGAGAGCAGTGGTCGATCCATTGACGAGAAAATTTCTCGCTATGACCAGGTTTGTCGCACCTTTTCTTGTGGCCTGAAGGAATACGTGCTGTGCAGCCGTATTCCATGTATGAGAATTGTCCCAGTTGGACGCAAAATGTGATATTTTTGGAGTACGTGTGATTGGAAAAAAGTTGTGACATGGCCCATGATGTTCCAGGGTCCTGGGTTTTTTTTTTGAATTTAAAGAAAAGGTTCTTCAATTTACTTTACTATTAGAAAACCGATTTTTTATGATTTTATATCATTTAGAAAAGATAATGGGTAGAACAAACAACAGATTCAATTTTTCGTCATAATCGATTTTTTAAAATCTTGACAAATACTGTACAGTAATTCAGAAAACATAATAGTCAAAACAAAGAACAATTCAATTTTCAGGTGGCCTAACGGATTTTCAGAACTCCGTGAAATCGGTGGAAAACTCTGGCTGTAACTACGAAGTTTTCACTTATCAGCATGCAGAAGATTGAGAAACTTTTTTCGAATTCGAAAAAAAATCACAGAACCGTAGAGCATCATGGGCTATGTAATGATTTTTTTTTACAATATATACTCGAAAATCTCAGAGGTCGCGTCCAAATGGGAATACCCTTGTACTGTATATATTTCTTGAGACTGCAATGCTCGTTTCCTGGAATATCGCCCGGGTGTTGCTTGAATTGTCAAAAATTAAAAAAAAATATCTTGACCGACTGTTTTTCAATCCTAAAAATTTTGGTCTTATTCCAAACTAATCTGAAGTATCCTGATGAAAATGTACTCGCCTGAAGCCGAAACTAAAGTCGGTAACACCTGTATACTGTGCGTGATGTAATATTTTTTCTTCGCGTCTCACCTGTAATATGGGTATTAGTGCTGCGTGTCTAAACATTCAACTTTAGATTTTAAAAATCGATATTTTCGCACTTCTCATTGTCAGCTGAAAAGAATTTCAATTAAATGTATTTTACAGGCATTGGAAAAGATCGGAGAATGCGAAGGTCTTTTGGCGTCTGCCACAGACAAGGGGGCTCAGATCAGCGAAGACGGAGCTTCTTCTGACAAGAACGTGATTACCGAACAGCTGGGGCAGGTGAAGAGCCAGTTGTTGTCACTTAGGCGCAAAATTGAAGAAAGTCGGGAAGCGCATTTAGCACTCATGACGGAGCATCGAAGACTCGCTTCAGCCCTGCAAGAATCTCTCGACAAGCTTCAGTCGTATGAGGCTCCTTGCAGGACCAGGCCTTTGCTCGCCATTTCCCCGCATTCCGTCGTTTCTGAGATTGAAAAACATCACGTGAGTGAATTAGAAAAGTATGATTAGAAATTACTCCGGAAAAAGTATTTTTTTCATACACTATTGAAGCAAGAAGAAAATCTAGGTTTGAATCATGTCGTCTGTCAATCGTGTGTTCTCTCTCTCTATTTGAACTACGCTGAACATTTTATGCAGAAAAGGGTGCCAATCCTGTCAGTTTTTATACTGTACAGGTAGACCCTCTACGACAATGTTCTTTGTATGAAGAATTTTATTTTGGTCCCATATGTGTTCCTACCCATATTATAAAGAGTCTCTGCAAGGAAATTCTCTTTATTAGGAAATAATCTGGTCGCCTGCATTTTTTATAAAAGAGAGTTCACTTGTGCTGCATAAATATTTGAATGTCAAGTTCTTTACGGCTCTCAGTTCGGCTGTCAGTAGAATTCACGCTTCGAGTTCCAATGGTTTCGCAAATAAATTACGTCTGTCGAATTATTACCGGAGTGTAAGCATTCATTCATCGTTTTGGATGTTCCGTTTTTCAGGCATTGAAGGGACAGGTTGGCGTGGCGATCGCAGAAATCGAGTTCCTCATCAACGGTGACGCGGAAGGATCATCCGGTAACGGAGAGAACCTGATGCGGAACCGAGACAATCTTCCTGGTTCAATCCAGGAGATGCTGAGTGAAGCCAAGGTCCTTCTGGAAACACTTCCAGCCGAGCTTCTGGAACGACAACGATATCTAGAATGTGCGAGAAGCATGAGGGACGAGTTTGTTGGCTCCACGAAAAAGCTGAAGGAGTGGATCGAGAATGCGGAAAGTACCCTGAGTGCCAACGATCCGAAATCGGGTGTGGATTACGAAAAGATCTTGAACTGCATCGACGAGCACAAAGATTTCTTCAGCTCGGATTCAGAAGCGAAAGAGTTGCTGTTGAAGATTCAGAAGATTGCTGACAAAATCCTGCCCTCCATGAGTTCCGCACATCAAGAAGAACTCAGCAAACAAGTAAACACTCGCGCAACTTATTCATTTGCTTCAGTTTAAGTTTTATAATTTCTGTAAATGCAGGTCGAAAATCTGCGACAAAGCCTGGAAAATATATTGAACTTGTCGAAAACAAAGAGGATTCGATTGGAGAAAGAAGTCTCTGCTTGGAGAGATTACCTGAACATTCTGCAAAGAGTTCAAGCGGTCATCAACAAAGCAGAGCAAGATGGGAAAGAACCCAGTGCTGAGATAATAACTGTGCTGGCCTTGAAAGAAGCGAAGCAGTTGATTGATCGATCAAAAACCGACTACCAGGTTTGGAAAAATAGCTGAAGCTATGTAGTGTGCAAAAATGTAATCGCCATTTTAACAAGAAGTTCCATTTTTTAATAAGAAACCGGAATCCCTGCATGTCGATCTTTATACAATACTGTATTCAGCAATGCGTACGCTTACGTAGGAGTTCTGTACTGTAATCTGGAATGCCTTTATGAAAAATATTTTCATTTCTGTGTACAATTTTGACTTCCATTAACATCTTATAAAGCGAGAAGAAATCTTCGTGATACACGAAGTAGGGAACCTATATTTTATGAACTGAACGATTTCTCATTAAACGATACATCTTTTGGCCTTTTTTTCTAAAGCTTACAATATTTTAAGCTAATTTTCGATGTTGTAAAGTAAGCTTTTCTAGACAGAATGTATTTTTTTGCGTTCTTGGCGCCCAAGACATGCGTTTTTTTATTTCTGTGCCCAATATATTTGCAAGGGATACATTTTTCGACCTAAAGCTTTGTATGGGATGCCAAATATTTGGAATCTCACCACGTCCTGTTCATGTACTGTATTGTGTATTTGAAATTTGCAGAATCAAGACGTTGTTCGCGACGCTTTGAACGAGAAAGGGAAAGACATCATGCGCAATGCTGACCCGGATAATGCGGAAAAGATTTCTTCTCAACTTGGCGTGATCAATAAATCTTGGAAGGAAGCGCTGAATGGCTTGGATACCAAATCTCGAGACATTAACAAGATGCTCGATGTCTGGGGCGACCACAACGTTCATTTAAAAGAAGTGGAAAACAAGTTGGCTGTGCTTAAGGAGAGGGTTCATTCGGTGGACGTTGTCACACTGGGGCTGTCTCAGCTGAAAGACATTGCCCCGACCGTCGAGGTAAATGTGATGAAAAATCTCGATGTTTTTTGTCTTATTTTTGAATATGAATTTTCGACTGCTGTTCCCCAGGACATGAAGAATCAGTGTGAAACGCTTAAAGCGAAGGTGGAAAGAATGGAGATGACTGGAAAAATTGCAGCAGATCACATGAAGCCGTTTTCAGAGAAAAGTGCTGCTGAAATTTCTGAAAAAGTCGCAAAACACAAAGAACTCCATTCCTCGTTAGTCGTTGAAATATCATTGACACGAGGTGTTTCACATTCTACATTATCTGTGCTATGTTTCCAGCTTGATGCGAGCAATAGAAGAAAAGGTTTCCTGGGTGGGTGAAGAGCTCGGTTACATTCAGAACCTCAACCATTCCATTGCTGCATTGAAGAATTCGGCTCAAGAGATGCTTAAAAAAATTAGTCAAATCGACGTTTACAGCCAAAATTCCGATGCGAGTTCTTCTGATTGCGAGGTAAGCAATTGCTTTCTTCTCGAACTGTTCATCTGCAGTGCTGGAATAATTTATTTGAGTGATTCCTAGACTATATGTATTCCGGTGCCAGTNCAAATCGACGTTTACAGCCAAAATTCCGATGCGAGTTCTTCTGATTGCGAGGTAAGCAATTGCTTTCTTCTCGAACTGTTCATCTGCAGTGCTGGAATAATTTATTTGAGTGATTCCTAGACTATATGTATTCCGGTGCCAGTGATATTCAAGCGTTTGACTTTTTTTTATGAAATTCTAAAATTTACACGGTCATGTACTCCCAATGCAGGCAGTCAGTCAAATTAAATTTCGTTCTCCCGTTGTTCCCGAAAACCCTGACATTTTAAAATTTGGGGCTCGATGAGGACAGACAAATTTTTTCATGATGTAACTCCAATAGGTGAATTATTTACGAAGAAAAAGTGTTATAAAAATAAATGTTTCTGATCAAAGTACGACATCCTGTTCAGTACTGTAAAATTAGTTTGTATACGTTTTTGTCACCTTGCCAAGGAATGTATTATGTATACGCTCTAATGAAGCGCGACTCAAAATTTCTTCAGTTTCCGGTACTTGGCTGTTCGTCATTTGACATTGAGACTATTTCTTGGAAATAGAGAAGCGATCATGAGCTAAATTCCTATTTTTAAAGTTTTATTCCAATTTTATTACTTCTATGCGACTAAAAGTATCAGTGAACTGATTCCACAAAGCATTGAAATCGCATTTTTTGGTTTCTGTATGTTGAGCTTCAAATTTGATGAAATCGTACTTCGAGTTCCCAGAATAAATGTTCCAAAATTAGATATGGGTTTGGGAGGTTCACGGCATCAGTCGCACACCTATTGCAATGGACCAACTCACTGTCTCCGCTGGTGACAGGTGATGTGACCCAGGTTCGAGACCACGTGGATACGTGACCTTAGCACCTGCGCCAAAATTCCGGTTGTCACCTTTTCAGTAGGAAAAGAAAAAATTACAAAAAAAAAATCTTGGTTGGGCTCCCGTGGAACCCATGTTGTTACTACGTGTCTGTTTTCTGAGTTGGGTTACAGCAAGTGTTTAGTTGTTGTGTGCCGGGTTTGTTTTGGTCGCAGGTGGAAGGTTTCGTCGCTCTATGGGGATTTGTAAAGTAATCTTTTGAATTATCTTGTAGATACTTTCTTCCATGGTTAGGCACTGCTGGTGTGCATACAGCAGTACCTCAGAGGCGTAGATTAATCTGAGTCAAGTTCAGAAAGTATAGTGAGAAAATTTGCCAGATAATTTAATCACAAATACAAAGTTTTGAAAATCTGAGTTTACCTCTGATGGCCTGATTGTCTTATTTTCGATTTTACAGAGTTGCCTTGGTTCTGCCAAAGATCTACAACAAAGAACCCGTGACTTTACGGAGGAAACCCAGAAGCACTTCTCCTCTCACCACCTGACTGTTCCTTCAGAAACTACAAAAGAGGTGAATTTTTTATTTATTTTTTTCTGTGCATTTGAAACTTGAATTAGCCATTTTAAAATCTTGATTCTTCGGTGTATGACTGGAAAAGTATGTGTTTCTTATGATTGACGCTTCGTTGTTCTTTTTAGTTGTCGAGTTTGGAACTACTTGCGGAATCCTCGTCGACGAAAGTTCACGATGCCTTGAGGGATATTAAGAAAGCCAAGTCGCTTTGGAGTGATTTTGACAAGGACGTTGATGCCATCAAAGAATGGCTGGTGAGGTCAGAAGAGGCTCTGGATCAGAAAGGTTTGGAGCCTGCAGCTCTGAAGCAATCTCTTCAGGTGTGTTTAATATCATTTTTCCTAAAACGCAGTACAAATAAAAATTGCTGGAAAAATATTTTTGGAAAATTTTATATGCGCCTTTTTTCGTGACTTCGCGCGGAACCGGACGGTTCTTTCTTGGAGGAAAAATGAGGTTTTAAAATATAAGAAAAGTTTCTCATCTTTCACAGTCCCAGGTCAACTATATGGGATGTATTCTCTTGTGTAAGAAGGTGTAGTGATCATTTTGATGAGTGAATCAGTTCTTCGCCAACTTCGAATTTTTGCATAGAAAATGCCCATTTATTGCTATATTGGTGTCGTAATCAGAAATTTCTGTGGCATTCTGAAACATATTTTCAATTACGAGGTTTCCTTCTAATTTGTGTGGTTTATTTTACTTCTCGCAGCAAATTCAAGCTGAATTGAGCAACTTCAGCGATATTTTTGACCGACTTTCGAGAGACGGTCAGTTCCTGTCCGAGAAGGTTCACAATGAAGCCGACAAGGAAAAAATTGAGTCAACAGTCACAACTCTTTCAGATCGGTTACAAAATACCAAAACTGTTCTGGAACAAAAATTCTCCCAGGTACCGAAATTTTGTTTTCTTCAGATTCCGCCGCTTCTGAACTTTTTCCCCTGATTGGCATTTTTTCCATGCCTTGTTCTAGATCGGAGAATCGTTGGAATCTTGGCATCGGTTCCTGCAGCTGTATGAGAATTTGAAAGAGTGGCTCGCGAAACAAAACACGTTTTTGGACCAGCCATTGACATTTTCGACGCTTGGAGATGCGAGACAAAAACATCAGTGTTATTCGGTTCGTTCTTCCGACATTTATTTAATGAGAATTTGAAAGAGTGGCTCGCGAAACAAAACACGTTTTTGGACCAGCCATTGACATTTTCGACGCTTGGAGATGCGAGACAAAAACATCAGTGTTATTCGGTTCGTTCTTCCGACATTTATTTTCTATTATTTTTCCAGCCGAGCCATTAGGAAGGATGTAAACAGATGCGTATCTATAGGAAGCCGCGTAGTGTTATTTATTTTAGTTGTTCAAGTATTGAGTTCGTATCTTTTCTAAAATTTTTAGATTCTCTAAATATACTGTAGACCAGTGTTTCTCAACCCGTGGTCCGCGGACCGGCAACGGTTCACAGAAGTTTTTTTGCCGGTCTGCGGGAAATTTTCTTCAGCATAATTAATTTATCAAAATTACCAATTAAGTTTGTTATCTCTGTCTGAATTTTTGCAAAAAGAATCACAGTTTAAATTATCCGATGAAAAAGTTGACTTTTCTTTTGATAACCTTTCAGACGACTTCTCAACTGCTGAAATTATTTATAATAACTTTTCATTCTGAGAAACCTTTCTTAAAGCCCACCTTTCTAATTTTTTGATGACGTTCCACTATGGCTGCTTCATTGATTCTCAACCTAATTTGTGCAAAAAAGCAGAAACTTTGTAAATATCCGCCATTAAGTCGTTCGAACAAAACTTCTTTGCATCTGCAAACATTTTATGAAACTTTGCCAGTCCGCAGAAAATGTTAATGAAAATTTGCTGGTCCGCGGGTCCAAAAAGGTCAGGGAACACTGCTGTAGACAATATCTAAACAAATTTGTTGTTTTTTGTTTGTTTGTAGTATGCAGTTAAGGACTGCAAAAATGCCATGAAGAGGGTAAATGACATGGCTAGGGAGCTCAATAACATCAACCAAGTCTCAAATTCCGGAGCTCTGGCCAGCAAACTCGCGGAAATCGAATCAGAGACGCACCAAGTCGACAATATCGTTCAAGAGCGGGTTCGTTTGGAATAATTTTATTTCTCCGAGATCCTTGGTCGGGATATTTTTAATATTTCGCTAATTTTCGTTGCATGCAGTGTGCTTTGTTGGGAGAAATGTGTGAAGAATGGGACCAGTTCGAAAAGAAGCTGAAAGATGTCGTCACGTGGATGGACAAGGGCGAGACCGGTCTCCATTCTGCTCCTCAAGGAAAGAAGCGATCGCTCAGGGAGCAATTACAAATGCGGGATAAAATGTTTCAAGATGTGCCGATTCAAAAAACAAAAATCAGCATGGCGCTTGAGAAACTTCTAGTAAGTTTTTTTTTTTTTTTAAGGATCATTTTAGAACTTATATCCAGCGGTTCGAACATCTTGGTACAGTACTTGTTTTATTGACTTTCTGAAAATCCTACTTTTAAAATTGTTGATAAATAATGCTTTTGTCTTTTCACCCAAGGTTCATTTTCGATTAAAAGTTGGGGATCCCTCAGAAGTCAAGTTCTCCCTTCCGCTCTACGTTCTTTGCGAACTATTCGAAAATCACTTCGACTTTCTTCTTTACTTATGCGAACTTTTTACGCACCAAGTCTAACTCCTTATGGTCGTCCATTATCAGTTGCACAAGGCTATATAATTTTGTAAATAGGTAAAATAATTTTTGTTTCACTTATTCCTTCTTAAATTGCAGGAAATTTTGAAGATCCGCCACGAGGTGTCGCATGCTGAGCAGCAACTCAGGCTTCTTTCGACTCCCAACTACGGCTCTGAAGGCAAAGACTTCCAGGCGTTCCAGCAATCGGTAAGTACCTCAACCCTGTTCCCGAAATATTCCCGGCGAACCCTCACACAGTTTCCCAATTTCCCTGCCCCAGAACAAAACTTCCAGGGTTTTATTTCAGAAATATTCCATCACAGCTTATTATTGTATAGCTCTGGCGCGGTTGATGCGCTTCAAGTACGGTAAATGTGTTTGTAGGCTTATATATGTGTAGGATGACAGTGATTCATGTATCCGTAGGAATGACGTACTGGGCTAAAAATACAGTTGGTTTATGTATTTCGGGTACCCTAAAAAATAAAATATTGTCTTAGAAGTTGACATGAACGACGCTTTTAGAATTCTTTTGAGATGTGTTCTCAACCATGATGGGTTCTGATGGGATGCCGAAGAGGGTCGAGGGCGTAAATTCAATTTTAGAATAAGAGGAAAGCTTTGTACTGTAATTCTTTATGGGCACACTAGGGCTACGCTCATAGCTTTTATGCGCCTCACTTGAGGATGAAGTATTGTCTCATAAAAATGATGAATGACTTCATTTAAAGTTTTCTGCTAGAAATTATGTGTACTGTACTTCTAATCAAACGAGGTTGAAGTCGTAAATTTAGTCTAACGATTTGTAAACCTCACAGTTTCGTACGTCGTATCAGCAGAGATGAGATAATCGTGGGTTTTGAGACCTTCTTTTTGGATTTACAATTTTGCAGGACTACATTTCCAATGTGCTCTCTTAAGTCTAGTGGTATATGTAGGAAGTAAACGTATAAATTTGCGGTTGTTGAATTGAGAGGGTGATTCCCTCAAGTTTTCAACTGAAAAGAAAATATATTTTGGATGGCATGAGCCACCTAAAGGAATAAGATGCAGGAAAAAGAGCAGCTTTTGATGTGGAGACCAGAAACTTCCTGAATGAATGGATCCTTTACCCGCCCAAGAATTGCGTCATTAAGACGAAGATGCGAACATTATGATAACCTGGAGGATGAGGAAAAAGCTGTGAGACGAGGAAAAGAAAAATCAGCATCCTGTGCCAGCGTCTGTCTGTCTGTGTTTTTTCCGCCATTTCGCCGGTAGACAGACTCACGTGCTTCGCTATATACAGTATACCCGGATCGCTCGCCAGAATCCGACTTTCTTCTTATGTTTTGCTGGCACTCCGTCGACTAATTAACCCGCGTGCTTCTACTTCTCGTCGTCACTGACGTCCGCGGTGGCGCGTGACAACGTGTATTCATCCGTACTAAGATCTTCGAACTGCTATGAATTTCCTTCTTTCATCGAATTTATTCTTCTCGAACTGCATTTGCTTAACGCAAAACTCCCTCTTTCTCTTCGTATTTCTTTGCGATGAACCGGAACACTCGTCTGCATGATGCTTGTCGCCTGTGATGGTAAATTGCATGCGTATTCCTTTGCTGCATGATTGAGAAGCTGTGCATAATAATGATCCCGTGATGATTTGCGTAATTGAGAAAACCCCTGATTGATGTTTTCCCTGAATCGAAGCCGTGGTTGTTGCGTGTGTTATCGTGTGGGCTAGAAGAAAAAATTAGAGTGAGAGTGAATGGAGGCGAAGGAGTTTGAATTTCGGCGACGAAGCACCGGAGTTTGACGTGCCGAAATACGAAAAAAATTCTGCGTGTTTGGCGCTGGGCCAGGATGGCACCCACACAACCCACACAGAACCCCAGACACAGGCAAAAATCCTCTCCTGTATACGAACCTTGTGACATCCGAACCCCGACCGGCAAAAGTGGACCCATTTTCAGTCCTTATTTATGCGGACAAGCTTCGACCGTTGTGTTCTGTTGAATCAATTCCATCGACTAATCATCAACCCTCCTTATTGTTATTCGAATTCTGCGATTATTTTAGTCACACGAATCCTGTGAAATAATTGACCTTGAAAGCCATTTTTTTATTCTCGAGTATTTGTGCTTGGGTGCGAACTGAAAAAGCTTTTGCTGAAGGAATCTCAGTGATTCAGTGGTCGAGAATTAAATCCATGTTCCCGGAAGTGTCCCATTGTGATCAGGCCTTTCAAAAAATGTTTATTACTTGTGGGCGGAAAGATTTGTCTACGGATAGTTCAAGCTTAAAAAAAAAGTTTCTTGTGGATCTTAGTTCCAAGACTTTTCGTGCTTATCTGACAGACAGTATTTCTACCAGAATTTTTTTTAAATTTTGTGTTCTTGATCGGGTCTTAGTTTTAAATTCCAACAGATGAAGCCGATATTGTTCCAGATGTCAAATTAGTTACATTTTAAAAACCAAAATATGCGTTTGAACTTATGTATGCTTTTGGGGCAAAAGATTCTGGTTAAACCGAGCTGTAAATATGGTATCTTGGCAATTTTTGCTTTATTTTGAGTATTTTGCAGTACAAAGTGAGTTCCTTATGTGACGATGAGACTTCTAAATAAATTATTTTCCTTGAAATGGAATGCTAATCAAAAAACCAGCGAGACCATACACTATCAGGAAAAATGTATCTTATCCGTTTCATTTTAGTGTGTGATTCCAGTTTTATTTATGACCTTATTTTAGCGATGTCTTCTTGAATATTGATTTTCATATCCGCTATTTCAAGACTTGTTTTCCACGCTGTATAGATTTGAGTAATTTCAAGGGAATAATATATTTTAAAAATAAGTGCTGTTTGTAGGTGGGACACCTGATTTTGCATTGGTGATGTGTGCTTTCGTAATATTCCTCTTGATTAAAACTTTTAAATATTTTATTCTGGTTTTTTCTCATCAACCATTTCAAAAATGACTGCTGTCATAAAAAAATTACTCCAATTCCACGTGATAATGATGATTTTGGCGATCAGGGCACTTTCAAAGCAATTCCTATCATCGAGATTTTTATCGTAGCGGGTTTCCTTCAGCAAAAGCTTCATGAATATTTCTCGAGGGTAGATCCTTTACGTTTTTCTTCTGAAAAGGCTAAAAGGGAAATATCCGGGGTGATCCTTCTTTCCGTTGGTGTAATCGGTGTCTGGGTTATGATTGTTCAGGCATGTCGAGAACGCATCCAGTTGCTTCAGGCGAAGATCGGGGCAAGGAATGAGCGCATCAAGCTTCTCATGCAACGTGGAACGCCTGACACTGAGCCTCTAGACGTTTAATCCGGCCAATAATTTCTTTTTCTTCCATTTTTTGTGCCTCCGGTGCCTTTTTACACTGCCTATTTTTTCTCTTTTCGCTTCTATTTTCGTTTCGTCGAGAGATGTGTAGCTGTTAATTTCGGAGTCGCATAAAGGAAAACAGGAGAAAAAAAAAAGGATTTGCTTAGTTGGCCTTTCATCAGGGTTTTTGTTCTGTTTTTTGCTTTGTTATCAAATGCTGTTCTCGCGCATTTCGGGACCGAGGAAAGTGACGTTTTGAAATGTGTGAGAGTGGCTGAGGTTTTTCATTCGCGTTGCTGTTTCGGTTTTTCTCTCTTATATTTATTATTATTTTTTGTTGGTGGAGAAAGGATATAACTTGTAATTCGGCCGTGTTTCTTTTTAGCGTGCTGTTGTGCTTTCGGTGTCGCTTGTCGCTTGGGGTGATGGCGTTTGTTGGTACTTGGTTTATTTTGGCTTGGTTCTGTTGCGGGGTATGGTTGTTTTCTACGTTGCCCGTCACATTATACTCAGTGTTCCGGTCACGCTACTTTCGTTTTTTCTCTGTTTCATTCCTCTGTTTCTTTTTTCCTGTCCGTTTCCTTGTCAGGTTTCACGCTTTTTAAAGTACAGAATGATACGCCGGCATCGGGGTTGAAACAGTTTTCGACTAATGAAGTTTTTCAAACGCCGCTATAATTGTTTGTGGCACAATTTTTTGCTGTTGAAAAAGACGACGGAAGGATGAAAATGCTGGTCGCTGAATTTATCGTGCCAATTGTCTTGGAACATAATGACATTTTTATTTTCGTAAATGAACGGGCTGTAATTTGAGAAGCAAAGTCTGAATTTATGTTTTAATTTTATAGATGATCTAGTATAATTTACTTATCTAGTAAAAAATATCACACTATAATTATCAAAAAAACTTGAAAGTTTAGTGTGACTCATGTCATTGCTCCTAAATTCTTTTTTCAACGGTACTGTAGCCAAATGCAGTATTTTTAATGCAATGCCTGTGATCCAGCTGATTTTTAGAAGAAAATTTTTTCATAAGGCATCGTGGAACTTCTCCATGGTTTTTCGTTGGATCAACAAATTACTGTGGTAGAATACGGGTTTGACATTTTTAACGTGAAATTTGTAGCGTTTTTTTTAAATTCAAGAATGTCAAATCGTGGTGCGAGGTTACGTTTGGGGATCAATATTTAATATTTCATTAAAATGGTAATTTTTTAAGTTTGAAGACTTCAGGTTGAAGACGCGTCATCCTTCCGTGCTTTTCAAGAATGCTTTAAATTTAAATTTCCACGAGTTAGAAATTTGTTTTGTGTTTCGCTTTTGATAAGAAGTTACTGTACTACGAAATAATGTATGTTGATTGGTCTATTCCTGCACTTTTATCAAACTGTCAACCCGATGTTTCCGGATCCCTCTTATATAACGGGTTGAGATCTTCAACCCTTCTGAATTGGACTCGCTATTTCTGCACTTTTTCCAGGCCAAGAAGTGATAAACAATTTGCGCAAACCTCGGGCGCTGTTTTTAGGAATCAGAAAACAGGTTTTTGCAGGTTTGCGCGGTGTGATTCTTTAGCTTTTTCCCCCGTCATTTCGGGGAGGCCAAATCATCGTCATGAGTGAGGCAGCCGAAGCTGCGGGCTTTTTCAAAAAGCCTACCTATGCGGAAGTTGTTGCCGGCAATATTGCCAAGGACCCAGAACAAGTACTGTACAAGCCAGTCAAACGAGTCGTAACTGAGTGCCATCCACTCGGTCCTGAAGTCGTGGTACCTGAGATTAAGGCGGCGGATGTTCATCATCATCACCACCACCAACACCCCGAGGAAAGGATTGTGACGAGACCCAATAAGCGGCCCTTTGAGTCTCCGAGGCAGAGACGGAGAGTAACTGAACCCAGTGCTGCCAGAATAAGGCATGTTTTTCATGAACACAAGCCGGACTTTGTTGCTCATCCTGCGCAACCGACAGCATCAGTGGTACCATCAGCATCAGTGGTACCATCATCAGTACCATATTGTCCTGCTACACCACCGTCTCCACCACCACCACCTCCTCCGTCAGCACCATCACAAACCCTTATTCCCGAAGGCAGGAAATCATATGCGGATATCGTAAAAGCGTCTCTTGCGAATGTCTTGTCGAAGATCCCGAGGTTAGAGTCTATCAAACAGCATTCCTTGGACCTTGATATTGCTCATCATGTTCCTGAACCTCCACCGATAAGACCGGTGCCAGTCATGGATTGGAGTGTTCCAGTGGAAGTGCCTTTGGGGTTCGGAGCTGTCGTGGGAATCATCGAACCCATCGAGGAGGAAGCCCGTGCTAGAGCAGTTCATGTTGTGGCAGAGTGTCAGGAGAGACACGAAGTAACTGAAGTGATTGCGGAGGAACCGAGGCCCATTGAAATTTTCGAAGACGCCCCAAAGCAGAGTCCAGCTAGGAAACGTAAACCGAAGCCGAGGAGGAAAACAGCTGAGCCCACCATCGACTGGGAAGCTTTGATGAGGGATGATTTCTCTATTCCTTCACCACCTCCGGTGTCGAAATTCGCTGCTGAAGCCGCGGAAGAGGCCCTGAGGGCTCAAGAGAGACCCAGAAGGGTTCAAAACACCAGGAAGTCCAAACCTAGGCCCAGAACCATCGAGAAATCCTCGGGCCTTGCGAGACACAGCGAGGAAATGGATTCCCCATCAGAACCACAAGACGCTCACGAGGATTCCTTGGAAAAAACCGGGGTTTGTTTCGAAGACACGTCAACCTCCGAAGCAGTGTTGTTGGCATCTCCGAACACGAAACGACGAAGGAGAAGAACCAAGAGACAACCAGTAGCCACCAAAGAAGAAATTCAGGAAGCTCTGAAGGAAATTCAGCTCATGCAAGAAAAGCATGGCTTGGAACCCGCTGCTGGTAAATCTTCCGACGTGTCGACGAACAAATCCTCGGAATGCACGTCCAATGATTTCCTCTGGGATGACTTTGATGCTCCCTATTCTCCCGATGATGATCCAAATCGTAGATCTGTTCATGAAGCCTTTGCGCTGGTGCACGGAGACTCAGACTTTGCTGTGGAACTCGGCTCGAACATCGTAGATGACACCTCTGTCACTGAAGAATTGAGTTTTTCAGCCGCTAATAATAGCACCAACCCGCAGGACAGCAGACTAGAACCCCTGTATGCAGCGCATTCGTCAGTGATCCCCGCCATGGACGAAATTTACCATCACGTATCGTCATCGTCTCCAGACTCTCACATGGCATTCAAAACAGTCCACAGTTCAGCGGATTTCCTAGAAGACGAATTAGTCATTATGCATTCACCCATCAGTCTGGGAAGCGGGAACTCATCTCCCTTTAGTCGCACTTTGAAACCATCAGACGAGTGCGACAGTGATTCTCATTTGCAGCTTTTCGCCCCCATGCAACACTCGGAATTGCCAGAAATCGAGGACCTCGAGCCTTCGAGCCTCGATTTCGATCGCCTGGGCACTGACACTAGGTGTGAGTTTGAGCAGGCCAAGAATTTCTCCATCCTCACCGTGAGACCCGATTCAGACTTGCTCCACACCCCAGCAGCAAGCACGGAACCCGATGTGATGAGTGACCTGGAAAGTTTAAAGTCTCCCACGTCCAAAAACGCGAGTCACGATGATCAACACCATCAGAAGCCTGATGATGATGATGATGATGATCGAGACAATGTGTACTGCGGTGACGACATAGAAACTCCTCTGCTGGAAAAACCGTCGTTTAGACACATGGATCTTGTATCTCAAGACCCGTTCCTTCAGGTCAAATGGTTCCAGGAGATGATCCCGCAAACCGGACTCGACCAGACGACGAGGGAGGAATCTCATGAAAGACTATTGGTAGAAACCCTTGATGAGGAATCATTCCTAGAATTAGACTCGGCTTGTGTTTCCGCTGAGGAAAAGCCTCATTCCGTCACTGATATTCCGAGTTACATTCCGTCTGCGTCATCTTTTGCAGCCCCCGAGTCCATTTCCTTTTTCCCGTCGTGGATGAGTTCTCCTATATCCGATGCCACGAGTGCGTGTTTTTCTTTGCCAAGTGCTGTCGATGAAGTTTCTGCTGCCATGGAAAACATCCTGTCACCGAAAATCGAGCCGGATAGAGAACCCCAAGAAGTCTCTCTACCAGCCGCAGCAGCAACTGATCTCAACTGTCGTGGCATTGAGCAGAAACCGGAAGAAGAGGAAGAAATTTACTGGAGGCTCAAGTATAACGTGAAAAAGAAGAGGAGGAGGAGAACGAATGAACCTCAGAAACTCGCAGAAAAGGAGACTAACGCTGAAACTGACTCAAGTGTGAATCAAATTCCTGACATTACGCCGAAGTCAGATGATCAAATTCTCTCAGCAGTGGAAAATGTAGATCAGATTTCAGAATCGAGTATCGGGACTTATTCAAACAAAATAGAGCCGGAAAACGAGCCCCCATCAGCAGCAGATCTGAGCACCAGAGATGTGGTGATGGACGTGGTACCACTGGTGGAACCAGTGATGGAAACAATCCGGGAGCCTACTGAAGCGTTGATGCCATGTCCTGTGGAAACGACTGTTGGCATTTTACCACTCGACGAGAAATTATTCGCGGGACAAATTTCTCATCCAGAAGTTGAAAGTGGGATTTTCTATGGAGTCTATGATCCGACGGACCACCAGCATTATTCAGAAGCTCCCGAACTTTCGAAAATGTCTTCATCAAGTGCTTGTGCGTGGGAATCAAATGATGACAAAGTTCATGAGATTTCGCCAAAAATATCTTCGGATGAACACTTCGAAGAAACTTTCAGGAAACCAGAAACCGGATCTGATCTTCCCTTGAGTCATTCAATGAGCCAAATACAGCAAGACCTGTCGAACCATTCAGAAATGGCTTCAGAACATCAATTGGTCAACTTTGAAGCGTGTTTTCCTAACTCTGCCTCATGTGGAAAATCGCTCAAGGAGGATTCCGCACGTTGTGACTCAAGCCAGCC